TACATGCAGGCAATTATTGTTCAGGAGAATTAGGTTGTTTTTGCTTTTTTTTTTTTTTCGCCCACACAGTCTGGAAATAGCTTTTATTATTATTAAACTTTTTTTCAGAGAGAATCATTAGACCCTACTTACTATTTTTTTTAAAATTATTTATTGATATATTAACTATCTACAGTTTTCTTTTTGGTGGCTTCTTTCCAGTGATTTTTCTCTGCAGTAAACCTGTTCAGGTTTATTACTTTGTTAAACACCAAGCTGAGGAAAATTACTCAGTGACGGGACAACCAAATATGTTGGAAAAACATATATAGGCTATTTAATCGTACATGTTACTGCTAGAGGTTTCATTACATCTTTTTCAGGCAGCTAACACAAGTTTGCATAATTAATCGATGGCAAAAAATCTAAACGTGTTTGAGGACATTTTAAATGTTAAAACTCAGCGTGTGACAACATTTCCTCATATCACATAGATCTGCCAGCCTGTATTTTAGTGCATGTGTGATGCATCATAAAGACGGCTCCGTTGTAGAAAAGTGCATTGTAAATAAAGATAATTCATTCATTAGGTCCATAAACGTCCTGGTGGCACATATAGCAAAGGCAGCGCTCTCTGTGGACTTTTTAATGCATGCTGTGCAGTCGTCAAGTTAATGCCAGCAGTGTTATCTGAAGTAGCCGGTTTAATGAGGATGTTGCCTGTCTGTGCAATCAGTGCAGTTTTTAATGTTTTGTGATCAATTATATTGGTAATATTTGTCACGCGCTACACACGACTCTTGGCTCTTTCCTCAGCAGCCTCTCAGCTGAGCGTTCATATAGAGCATGTAGGCGATGTTGGTGTTGTTTTGAAGACGAGTCTAGCGGTCATAAAAATTGCACGCCGAAGGAATTGCACCTTGTTGGTCAAAACTGTTTTATTAGAATCAAAAATTAATGTAATAAAACAGCCAGCTGGACCTAAATGAATAGTTTGACTGGCAGCCAGCCCTGTTAAGCCCATCCCATCTAACTCTGCAGGCCTTGACCGGCGCTGCTTTACTTTTCTTATAGGTGATGCAGGTTTGCATGTGTAGAACTGGTTGATAATCCCCCCATGTAGTGAATCTGCAACCCGCAAATGCAAAACTTGTAAGTTACAAGCCCCTTCCATGACATGCTTTGTATTGTAAAATAGCAAATTACGTCTGCACACATATTTCATGACACTGTGTGAAAAATGTTTATTTCATTCAATTGTCTCATGTCATTCTCTTGGAGCCCTCACTGAGAAATTCTCAGTGATAAAACTGAAATACAGCAGCAGCAGCAGCAGCAGCACATGTATAAACTCAAACAGAAGCTTTTTGGCAGCGCGATGCTGTGATCAGCCCTCATATGGAGGAGGCTGTGAGTGAGAATGAAAATAAGCAGGAGATGTCATTGCACATTGCGTATCAGTGCCTCGGTAATGTACTGTGGCCTCGGGGTGTGATTTAGAAATGAAAGAGTGTTTTGTGATTAACTCTCAGCACATGCATGCACACATACACACACTGATCCTATTGTACCAGTCGGGTCTAGCTGGCCTCTGCCCGGGCCAAAGCCTGTTAACTCCAATTCAGAGCATAGAGGCTGGTAATGAGCACTGTCAGAGTTGACATAACAACCTCCCGCTCTGGGGCTGAACACTGGAGTCAGAGAGAGGCAGAGAGAGAGAGAGAGAGAGAGAGAGCAGGTCGGTCTGTGCAGGGCTGATCCTGGGATCTGTAAATTCACTATTGAAATTCCCAGTCTGATTCAGCTGTGGTTTGGCCTGATATCTGGAAATTTTAGCCCGACTGGCAGTCAGAGCTCACCAAAGACAGTCTAGCTCTGGCCTTTAATGTGCGGTGGTAGAGAAAAGGTAGTCTGATTTCTTATAATTTCTTTTAAAATATAAGCTTCCTTCCCTGCAAACTGCCCTCACTGGGTTTGGTGATCTGAGCAGAGGTTGAAGTTCCAGGTAAATCGCGTTAACTGAAGGACTGCTCTTACTTTTAATTCCCCCATACCTGGAAAGAATTACAATATACTTTGAAGCTTAGTAGTGAAGCGTTCTTGGGGTATTTAGCTATAAGAAATTAAGTTTTCTTTGAATGCAGCTTGGTTTCTGACATCGCAGAGGTGAAACTAAGGCGTCTTTCCCTTAACGTAATCTTCAATATTAATGTAAATGGTGCCTCTGTGTGCAGCTATGGATACTTATTGTACACCCTAATTCAGCCTAAATAAATGTCTTTTTTAGCCATGCTATGGATACGTTCTGCAGACATTAGGTGCTCTTTACTGTCATGCATTTGTTCTCAAGGTTAATATCCACAACAGTGGTTTTGTTGAAGATAAGCATTTTTCTCTCCGTCCCCATCCCGGCTCATTAGAATCAGCTTGTTTAGAGTGGATGACTTGCTGTGTTGTCTGATTTGAGTTCAGGCAGCACAAAAAACAGCCCCCACATTCCAGCATCGCGTGTCCTCGGCTCCCATTTCTCAATAATTTATCCAGACAACTAGAATGATTATTCTATGAATATGCACTAAAAATTCCTTTCTTGTGCTCTTTCTCTCTAAGTTTGTGTATGTCAGTGTGTGCCAGAGAATGTGTGCATGTGAGCAAATGTGTAGCTGTGTGTATGCAGCTCTTTTCCGCCTGAAACAAAGGAGGTGTCAGGGCGAATTAGCCCCCCTACGACTGAACGCCCAGAGAGCTTAGAGATGCACCACAGGTTCTGCTGAGTCGCACATGAGCCGCGGTGTCTGCCTCTTCCCCTCTGCTTCCCCTCCTTTGCCCCCCGCCGCCCTCACCCCCTCTCCACTCCTGAGTTGCTCTAACAAGGTTGTTGGAAGAGGATAAGGCGTGTTAAATGAATAATTTACACAGAAGAGCGCTCCTTATTTATTTAATACAGCTGGATCTGACTGAGTGGGCAGCCTGCGTCCCCAACTGCCGAGACACTGTTGGCTAAACGAGCACTCGCTCAGCTTAATGGAGGGCCGAAGCGACAGGCATTTAGAGAGAGCAAGGGACTGCAAAAGAGAGAGTTTGTTGATATTGTGTGTGTGCAGGTGTGTGTGTGTGTGTGTGTGTAGGTGTGTGTGCTGGTGAAACAGGCCATGCAGAGCCTTGCTAGTGTGTAAACCATGTCGCTGCTGCATGCGCAGTCGTCACACCATGTTATTCTTTATACGTTGGCAGATAACATGAGAGGTCCTCTCACCTATTTCCTGAAATATATGGAATATATTAATGCTCCTCTGAAGAAAAGCAGTTTGAACATCATCTTTTTGGTGCTTCTCTATGACCTCTCAAACTAGTTAGTGTTAAACTAATACATAAGACGTGAGATAAATGATCATATGAACACATGAAGTAAAACATATTGGGAAAACATGTATTCTAAAATAACTTCATATATTAATAAAGCTCAATTCATTATTATAAATGCATCTTCAACACCATTTTTATGTTATATTTTATGTTAATATTCAAAATGCTGTTTTTCCCGTAACTACTTGTGACTTATAATGCCCATACCCCCACCGTTCAATCAGTCACATTCGCCCTCAGCTTCCCAACAGTCTGACTAATTTCCAGCTTGCGAGCTACTTTCCTTGAGCTTTAAAAACACAGCAACCTTCCAGACAGGAGTCCAGCTGACCTGGGCTGGCTCCGCTATAGAAGGTGGTGGCAGTCGTCCATTCTCCCTATTCACTCCTGTCTCCCCTCTGGCTTCCATCTTGTTTGGTTTACTTGTACTTAGGTTTTGCTTTTATTTTGTGAAATACACATCTTTAGTTACACCTCATGTGTGGTCTCCCCTCCATTGCCCACCCCTGAGCCAGGTGGGGACAAACACCAAAGAGAAACACGCTTACCTTACTGCTGAGTAATGGTCCATAAGACAGAAGCCAACCCAGGTGACTAGCTTGTCAGCCAGGTAGCATGTGTAGCCTTGTTAAGGTACATAAAAGGAAGGGTTATTTATTACACATAGTTACTTTGGTAATGTTGCTTTAGCTCGTGGTTAGCTAACTGGTAAGACTTGTATCAGTGGCTGAAAGTTGGGTGGGGGACACTGATGTCAACTTTAATATAGGGATGCACGATATAATGGTGACAACATCAGCATCAGTCGATATTTGTGTTTTTTCCAATATATCGGTATCGGTCCGACAAACAAATTTAGCCGACGTGAAAAACCAATGATTCTCTAACATTAGCGCCTTCGTCTCTACATTTGATATTGCTGCTTTTTCACAGATGTTTTTACTTAAATGGTCCTGGACTATAATGTTAAATATGTTAAAATTTAAATATGTTTTACTTTTGTTACGTCATAAAGAAGCCTATGTGGTCTAGTTTGGTATGGACTTCTTCTGAATACTTTCTCACAGTGCTTACTTATACTCATTTTTCGGTGTGAACAAAATTTGAATATTGACATCGATAATATCGGTCATCGGCGATATCAGAAATCTTAATATTGGATATCGGTATCGGCCAGAAATTTAAATATCATGCCTCACTACTTTAATAGTTTTAATAATTTATTACATTATTTCACACTTTCATTCAGCTATTACTGAATCCCCTGTAGCCAACATTCACTTAAAATGAAGGCACTTTTCATCTGAACAGGGCTGAACTACAGGCTGTGTTCTGAAAATATAGGCAGTAAAGTACATAGTATCGTACCAGAGTCACTATTTTTTCCCCAGTATTGGCAGCACCTGTCCCTTAATCAGGACTGTGCTGTTTCTGTAGAGATGCAGGACTTCATATTGCAGTGATCAATAAGCTTACAGTAAGAGAAAATAGTGACAAAGGAGTAAAAACGTCTAGAAATAATTTGGGGTTCAGAGGGTTAATATTGAACGCTTTGACCCTCTATAATAATCGTCCATAAAATCAGTTACAGTGTTTGTTGTTGTTGTTTTTCTGAACAATTTTAGTGAAAGGCTTAATGTGTGATGTCTCCACAGGGGGCGTTGGAGAGGGGGGGACAGGACCACAACCCGGGCACCATCCAGAGAGAGGAGCAAGGGAGCAGCTGAGGAGGAAGGGATCATCCAATCGGTAAACACTTTGGGTGGTTGTTTTGAGATAAGATAAACTTTATTGATCTCTTGTAGAGAAGATAAGATGAGAACAGATAGCTTTAATCAAACCTTAGACACTATACCTACTGTACTCAGGAGCAGCATTAGGAATACTAAATGTGAGGTACTTGATACTGCATCAACATAAATAATGAAGATATTGACACAAAATAGTCACAAGGAAGAAGTTAAAATTTTGAATCAGAAATTTCACCGTTGGGTGGTGGCTTGAGCGTCTTGCTTTACGTTCTGTCATTATTTTTGCACACACAGGAGGAGACATTAGAGTGAAGGTATCTGTTTGTTCTGTAACAAAGGCAAGATGAGAAACAGTCAGCCTTGTTCCATAATTAAACATGAGCCCTCATTCTGGTACTGAAGACAGGGAATAAAGAACGCTCCGACCATTCAGGTTAAGACCAAAATCCTTGAAATCCTCACTCTGACATCTGGGTAGGTCTCTGTGTTCCCGTGGACGGAGGCAGCCCTACTCAGCAGGAGCGATACATCGCCACAGTTCCTCTGTGAGTGTGTGTGTGTCTCCCCGGAGAATGAAATCCCACAGCTCACACTGACCTCATTATAAAAATAGCTCATCTATCTAGCCATCACATTTCCCTCTATTTCCCCTCTCCTCCAGTCTCTTAGATATACGGTGATCCTCCCTACCTTCCACTCTCTCATCTCTCCATCAGTGTTTGTGCCAGACTTAATGTGAGATTAAAAGCTTATGCAAGTCCTTGTAACGGCAAGGTTTCCCCTGCCCCTGTCATTACCAATCTGGCCCTAATCTGAGATGTCTTTTAATCATGAAACATCCCTGAGCATCGTTAAAGATTGCGTTTACATGATCTGTTAACATTGTCTCTTGGTAAAGCAGTGTCTGCGAGCCATTTTTTCCATAGTGTCTCCTCTCTTTTCTTCTACCTGGTCCACTGCCTTTCTTTACCTCCTCTGCAAGTGGAGCGAAATCCTCCCCATTAGAGTGAACAGCGCACACGTCTGGTTAATTTAACAGCAGCATCAGTGATCATTACGGTCCAAGGCTGGCTTTGATCCTGCCAGACAGCATTTGCTGCGGTTTTAATAACCCAACAAAGACACCTTAGCAGATGCTCAATTTCTAGACTCTAGACAAAGACTGAGACCAAGTGACATTTTTAAAGAGTTTATTTAGCCAGATAACGGCAACAGAGCATTCACAGTTTGTTTTTTTTTCAGTTAAATCCAGCTACGTTTAAAGACTTTGTCACTCTTGAAAGATTTTCATTCAAGCACAGTATCATGAGCCACTGAGCCACTCGACTGGAGCAGCTCAGGCTACTACAGCAATAATAATTAGAATACAAATGATTACAAATAACCGTGTTGTACAGTTTTCAGAAATGTGTGCATCCACAGTCATCTAGAGGGCAACATCGCTGGATTTTGTTTGAAAAAGACAAACATTTCGTTGCATTGAACACCCACAGAATGGAATAATATCAATAATTTAGTGGAAATTCACGTCAAGTCAGACGTTTTCACAAGAAATGTGCAAGTCAGTTGCAGGTATTATTGTTCTCTGAAGGCAGACTATTTAAATTACGCAGCACCTGAACGTGTTCCTTTTGAAAGAGGGTAATAGTGTTTCTTACAAAGCGAGCACCAAGGCATTTCAATTATAGGTCCCAAAATTAAGTCTTGAAATATTTGAGTCCAGTGGCTCATTACTTCTGCAGGAACATAGCAAAAATGAAAGTAGAAATTTTCACAAGTTCACCTTTTGTTTCCACTGTTCTTTGTCGAGTTGCTACCATAAAGTTTGTTCATTGTGCAGAAGGAGATACAACATGCAAGTTCCATGTACTTTCTGGGCTTAACGACTGTGCTGATGATTGTCGTTGGTCAAGCAAACATGCTGTTAAATCAAAACAAAGATTATCACAACAAACGCACAGCCAGACAATTGTCACAGTGCATGCAGTTTAGCAATCTGGAAAATGAATATGTTGGTTGACGTGCTGGTGCCCTGGAAACATGAAGCCAATTAGACCGCTGGTATATAAAAAGTGCAGCAGTCTCAAATTCAATACGATTGTTGTACTCTGCAGAAATGGACAGCAAAGCCTGGACTTTGTCACCCATTGGTAGTAAATTGTCTTGGGCTGCTTCATTCTGATTATTGTCTGTGATAAGAATTGTGGCAAGCCTGATCTCCACAGGACTTAATTTAGAGCCCCAGTGGAACCATTGAACTTAATTCCCAAAAAGTTTCCTGATCCCCTGCTGTAGATGTTCCTCAGGTAGAAAAGCACCTATTGCCATCTGTGCCACACTGGGTTACATTATTTCCCTACCAAGCAGCACATAAACATATCTGCACTGCAGCCTTTTATTAATAATGAACATGTAGAGATCCAATGAAGAAAACGTCAGAGGTTACAGGTTGTTATGTTCTTGCAGGGGAAAAGGGCTACAGTCCATAAAGACAGACATGAGACCAAGACTCCATCTAGTCTGACATATGTTGCACAAGCACAGATATTTTAGCCCTAGAGATTTATTTCAATCATCTTAAAAGATAATACTGCTAGGTTACTTGTGCAAGTGGTTGCAAAGTCGGCTTGCGACATGCTGCACATACAAGTTATGTTGTTGCTTTGACAGTGTAGAGTTACGAGTTACCACCAAGTCCGAGCCTACTTGTTTGTGTTCACCTCTCCTTTGTAACATTACTCTCTCACCTGCAAATCCAGCAGCTTATTCCCCTCAAAGACTATCTTATGTTAAATAAGAACAAGCTGCCTCGCATTGACCTGCTTTTAGAAGCCCAGGCTTCACCTCAACAGGAGAACTGTTGGGATCATCTGCATATTCTTTTGATCTCGCACCAGGTCTCTAGGAGCAGCCGTCATTAAGGAAGTTTGCACAACGTTCCCTCTTCCTCTCATCGTGGCTGAAGCTCTACCACGTGCACTCTTCTCTGCCTAGTGCCCTTCACTCCATCGCAGACCCTTCAAAGTGCTTTACTTTGCTACCGCCCTTCGCTTCAAAGCCACCCTAAGTTGGGTTGAAAGCCAAAACCACTCTTGTCTGTCCTTCACCGCTAAGCTGACGTGTTTGTGTCTGTGCTGTGTTGCCCTTGGGGTGGGTTACCTCCACCTCCACCCCCTCCATCTCCTCTCTTCTCCTCCCCACCTTGCTGTTTATCTGTCTCTGGGCTCGTCACGTCCCTGAACCTGCTCTAATTAGCATCCCACACAACACTGTTTATTTACTCAGGTACCGTCAGAAGGGGAGGGAGGTGAGAATGAAAGAGAGAGTCGGAAAAAGGGAGAAAGAGACAGAGAAGGCTGGGAAGAGGAAGAGAGAGAGAGAGAGAGTGCTGGGAACAGGAAGAGAGGGAGAAATGATTCAGAGAATCAAAGAGCTATGAGACTCTCTCTCATACCGGATGCAGGGGGTAATGATAGTTAGAAAGACATGATGCAGAAAGTCGAGAAAGTGAGAAACAGAGAACTTTCCCGCCTCTCCACGCCTCCTCTCTGCTTTTTCCAGCGTTTCATCTGAGATGCAGAGTGCCTAAAATTAGCAAGCTGGCAGCTTCCTTCCTTCCTTCCTTCCTTCCAGGGCCCCCATTAAAGTTCTCCCATTGCATTGAGTGATCATTAAGGTGGGACTGGGAGCGCAGGTGTTTTCTTAGTGTCCCAGTCGAGGTTGAACAAAAATCTGTTGCAATATTCATCTGTGGGAGTGTTTGTGTGTCTGTGCAGGTTTTCTGCTTGCGAATATATGTGCACTATTATACCACGCACTGCACATCTCTCAGCACAGATGGAGGGACAGGTTAATAAATGAAGGCTGACGGAGGAGGACAGAGCTAAATAGTAATGGACAGGTCCTGTCGTTTACCTCTGCAGACTGTGCAGGTTTGAACATTTGTGTAATAACTCGATCATGTGATTGTACAACTTTTGTGCACAGCATGTTTTATGGTAGTCTTGCTACATATTGCAGCTGTGTCTTTTACGTTGTGTGTCCTACATCTCATATCATACATCTGCTGATGATCACCGATGAAATATGAGGGCGCAGTGCGTTTTAAACGATCTATGCTGTGCAACGTGTCATCCAGCCAAGTCCAAAGGCAAATGTGCTCACAATACATCAGGAAGGTAAAATGCAATAAATCCTACAATTCGGGGCAGTCTCTCCTCAAAGCCATTCGAGTTGAAAAGCGAGATGAAAAAAGATGTAGATTAGAATGAAAAAAAAAAATCTTTAGATAGAAGTTCAAGCCGTCATGCGTTTACACCACTGACTGTATGTAACGATGGATGAATCCTCAGTGATGGGTTTCCTGAAGAGGAGGTTTTAAGCCAAGTGTGGTTGCTCTGGTTGTCGCCATCTTGAGAGTACTTGAGTCTTCCTATCTGCCAGATAATCAAAACATGAGCAACGAGCTGGAGCATGGGTGGAGCTAAGGCGAGCTGTGGACTGTTTTATGACAGCAGACGTCTCACTCAAAGCAGGCATTCCCTTAATTATGCATGAATGTAGGCCTCAATACAATTTAAACAGGTAAAGTATATGAAAGTTTGTCCTTTGTGCAGTTTTCATGAATGGGGAAATTAGCTATAGAGCTCAAAGTTGTTTTTTTGTACTAGGCCATTAACATGTTTATTTTCAGTTGTAAAGTTTGGCATTTGACCACACAGATGTATGAAGATTACTGTAATTTCGGACTATTGAGCGCGCCTGAATATAAGCCGCACCCACTAATAAAAAAATTAAATAATAAAAATATGTACATATATAGGCGGCACTTGTCTATAAGCCGCAGGTGTCCACCTTGTAACATGAAATATTTACGGAGAAAGATTCTTTTTTAAACTTTTAATACGTACCAGTAACATACACAAATATGAACCGTAAATGCTTTTTTTTAAACACGGCTGGTTAAGAAAATTAAAAATACAGCAGCCTACCAGGAAA